TAACAAGGAGGATTCACAAATAGGAGATTATCTGTGTAATTAAAAACAATATTGTTAAAATTAATAAGTCATTTTGAAATACACAATATAATATCAGCGTATCTTCCTGTGCGCTTTTTAATCTGCTGTATTTATCATTTAAGCTGTCTCTTTCGAAATATTATACGCGAGTATTTTTTCTCTTCCGGTTTTCATGGGGTAAAATTAGCAGAAAAAAGGGAAAGAATACGCGAGTACTAATTTTCTTTCATCCATAGAAATCTATATTTTCAGCACGGCAAAGTTCGTTTAAAAAAGTTCTTAATATAATTTTAAAAAATTCATAACAAATAATAAACTAAAAGCTGATGTACAAATAGTTACTGAAGTTTTATTTTAAATAAAGCTTATAAATTACTTTACATTAATTTTCAGGATAGTTATATAAAAACATCATTTATTTTTTCTTCTTAAATATGGGTGCACTTCTTTAATTTACCTCATATAGTAGGAAGTATTTGTCTTTTCTTTCAGTCAGTTTTATTGGATTCGAAAATATTGCACACGTGTGAGAACAAAAAATTAAACCGTCTTCATGTGCTATACCTGCGAACTTTGCATCGTACGCCTTCGTATTATGTACTCCGAATGCCTTTTTGAAAATGCAAAAGATCAGATTAGTTATAGAGTTTAGGCTTCTTTGGTAGCATAAACTAAGTCCAAACTCCGTGCGGACATAGAGAGAATTATCGCTTGGTCTGAAGTTAATGAGAGATAGTCTTGAAAAGGTTTGAAAGAATCTTTTTATTGAATCAGAAATTTAACATAAACGCATGACTCGTGCTTGACAAGTTCAGCCATCACGTGTGGCGAGTTTAAAGTCACAGTCAAATTCAAGATTTAAAACTAAGTCTAGTAACAAAAGACTACCCGACCGATTTAACGTTAAGCTGGCTCATACTTCTCACCGGCATAGCAATTTAAATGTCGGCAGCTACAATGCAAAGCTGAATAATACAATCTTCTCTAAGCTAGCGAAACCTATAAACATGGCCTCAGGAGCCAGAAACATGCTCTGGCTTACAATTCAAAAACCTCGGCTTAAATATTATCTGAAACTAAGTTTGCACTGTGGTAAGGAAACGGAAGAGAGAAATGACAGTAAAAATCTAAATCTTTATAATTCGTTAGATTTATATATTGGAACGTTATGCACATTACTCTCTCTTATTTCTGCACAATGCGCACAAAACCTGTTAAAACACAAATCTATTACGAAATATATATTTTTTTATAATGATAGGATCAACACTAAACGCACTAAAACGAACATTTTCTAAATAAAATTTAAGAACACTGAATAAAAAAATTCTTTTCAGTTGAGTAGACATTCAGTAAAATTAGTGTAGTATATATCTTCTTTGAGTCGCCAATACAGCGTGCTTTTTTGAGTAGAACAGATATTTAAATTGAACAAACATTTTCAAAAGACACTTTCTACATTATAATTCCCGTTTTATCCAAAAATTGCTTATTTTTGCAGTGTTATATCATGACAATTTCTATCGGACTATTTCTTGACTTCCTATAGATATTTCTTATTGTTAACAGCAGAACGTTTTTTTCATATCCTTCGTCCTGCTTAACCAATGCTTCCCATGACCCATCTAGTGTGTACGTTTAGAAAGCATCATTTTTTTTTCACTCCAAATAAAGAATATTCTAAGGGTAAAGCGTTACGAACTTTGAAGTAATATGGACATGATGCGGATTTAACCATTTGCCTGTTCTATCCTTTTATCAAAAATATTAATGTAGGTTTTCATGCAGCTATCATAATGGAGACGTACTCATTGATGAAAAAATAAGCAAAAAATTGAAAACTATAAGCAAAAAAATTGAAATTTTTCCATAAGTAAGAGAATTTTAAAACATTATTTTGATAACACCAAAGTGTTAATTTTTAACCCTTTTACGCCGTGACGTTCTTTAACTTAATTTTACCGCTGTATGAGAAATCAGCAACTACCAAAACTTCTACATTGAACCTCTCTTTAAATTCTAGAAACGAAGTTTCCAAGCCTTTTTCTATATCTCTGCAACAGTAAATCGATATTTTTTAATGCCATTTTAGATTTCTCCTTTCAGCCATAAGCCTAGGAAACCTACAAAACCTACACTGAACATTTTAATCAATTTAAAACTTAAATTTTGTTTATTAAGAAAAAAACAGTTATTTAAAAAGGTGGCAATTATATTTTATTATTTGTTTTTAAGAGCAGAGAATTCGCACTTGAAAGAACTGCGGAAGTACGTTTTACTACCTTCAGATATTTTCAAATTTTTTCAAGAAATTTTTCCTAAGTCTCGAAGATTGCTTTTTTATGGGTTTTCCCCTTTATTCTGAATAAAATTACTTGCTCTTCACCTAGAAAAAGTAAATCTATAACTTTTCTCAATTTTGTTTATTTATAATGTAGAGCTGTCAGGTATTTCAATAAGGAAGGAAAAGATTCTTTATATCCTCCTTCACTTAAGAAAACGAAGAGGAAGACCCAGTTGCCAAATTCAGGAGGTGAGGAATTATCGTCCACGACATCTTCGTTCGGGAGCCACTTGTAGGGTCAGATTAAAAGAACTATTGAAAAAACTCAGATTAAAAGACTTATCAATAGAAAGTCGGGAAAATGTGAAGAATGCTTGCCCATACACGTTCCAGATATTTTCTTTAAATACTGTGTTTTTTCTTTTTTTAATAAAACTTTAAATGTGCGAAATGCTTATTCATAAATGATAAAAGTTTTAATCTTTCAAGAATCTTCTTATACGTAAAAAACACTGTGAAATCGCATTAAAAAACTTTGCACATGGTTGTAAAAATTTTCATAATTTTACGATCATCTATTCAACAGAAATTTTCACGCCCGATTTGTTATCTAAGAAGCAAAACCTTTTCAGAAGATACATTTATCCAATCAGTTCGAACAAAATCGAACGTTTATTTGCAGTTAGGTTAAAGCTTACATTCAAATTTCGTGTCTTTCTTATCCGGCATATTCACACAGAAGATGAAAATCAAAACAAACAATATATATTCAAAGTAATATGCTATAAAAATGGGCAAATAGTAAGCTGACAAGGAGCATTTTATTTTTCGTACTTTAATGCTTTTGGGAGATAAGAGATGTGAGTTGCTGAGAAGGTACATTACCAAGCAAGTTACAATCGCAAATGGGGTTGAGAGGTTGGCAGCGGCCTTAAAGTGTCTATTTTAAAGTAACAGACTATGGCTATAGCACCAAGACAGTATTAAGTTTTAGCTTTAAATGATCACATTTGCTCTTAATTCCTGTCTATTCGGAATGTACTGCACAGCTATTCATTTAATTTTTCGAATAACCTACCCTATATGTAAAGAGGCTACTGAAATTTTCAGTAGAAGCAAGTTAATACCCTATTTTCTGGCATATTTCACCCTCCTCTACTTTTTCACTAATTGTTTTCATTCGGAAATCGAAAGAAAATGATACGAATAATTTAATTATCAAAGATCGGGATTACAGTAAGGAAAAAACAAATAAAAAGTAGTCATACAAGTAACTATCACAAAATTAATTATTTAAAAGAAACCTACATTTTAATAAGAATACATTGCAATAGTAATATTACAATATCTAATGAGATATCTTCATTTCTAATTTCCGGTAACTTGAATTTCGCCAGTTCTTATTATTGTGTCTGCTGCTTCATAGGCCTTAAATCTTCCATAAATAATTAGAGAATTTCGGTTCAGTTCACTTCATGATGAATGGGGACAACTGGCCTTTACCGATGTTTTACAGATATTGACACACATTCAACATTAACTAGGTTTATTTTAATTAAAAAAGTAAAAACCAAATTTTACTTTTTCCACATCTCAACACATGTAAAGGAATAAACTTAGAAATATATTTAGGTGAAAGAGGAATAAAAGATTAAAAATAAAATTTAATTGATTTGTAGAGACATTAGGCATTTTTGGAAGCAGACAAGATGAAAAATGAGCAATCGCGTTTGGCCGGGAATCGAACCACGGACCTCTGGAATACCGGCCCAGTGTGCAAACCACTACACCACGAAGGCAAGCTAGGAAGGCGGGAGAAATGCCTTATAGATTGAACTCAAACTTCAGAAAGTCTGCACATCATGTAGCCCATGATGTTTGATTAAATGTTCTTAAAATCAGTCAAGCAAATAATCATAATGTTTTAATCTTACTTCACGCTTTATACCTTATGTTCAGAAAATAAAGTTATTGTCTTGAGAACTTATAATCTTGTTTTAGCTTGATATCAATTTCAAGAGTTAGAAGCGAAGTGTTCGGAGGGACTTTCGCGAGATTTTGCGAGGGTTTAACTTTGTGAGTAAAATTGAAAACAATCTTTTATGAATGAATCCATTTTAAAATTTAGCGGAGCTCGTTCTCTGAATATATTGAGGAAGGCGAGAATTTTAAAAACTTAGGGAGATATATGTCTAAAGACTTAAAATATATACTTTGAAATACTGTACTTTGAATCCTTGATAAAATGATACTGTAGTGTGTATGTGCTAAAAATAGAAAAAAAAGTTTTAACACTTCTCGAAAAATAAAGAAGGAGGGAATAAGCAAAAAATTAAAACTCAAATGTATGATTTACGCTACACTCAGATTTCTTTGCGCACTGCGATTTTACGATATATTTCCTCAACAAGCTAATTATCTCTTACTCACGAATAATTAGGGATTCAATGCCGTTTTGCTAATTCTACCTCTCTCTTCCACTTTCTTTCTTAACGTTCAAGAACAAAGACTATGTAATTAACAAACATGCTAAAAATAAATTTCAGTTCGGAAAGACATTAAGACGATTCATTGCATGACTAAAATACTTTTAAAATGATACATTTAAGAATGATTACTCATTTATGTTTTCTTGTTTGGGAACACAATGTGTTAAGTAGACACCTAATTACAAACTATCTTCTTTGTGCCTTTAGATGATGCATGTGAGAAATTCTATGGATCATGTCCAATCTTACTTTGCTTTTGAAGTCTATCCATTTTACGCCCTGTGTCATCAATTCTGAAAGCAGAATGGGATTCCTGCCAAGTAATTTTACATTGTTCTTTTCTGAGAGATTTTCTAAATAGTATCTGAACTGAAACAGAATGAGCGCCCAAGATTTCGCTTTGGTTGATATTTAGATTTTCTGCACGCAATAAAATAAAGAAGAATTGAATCAGAAGATGTAAAAAGAGGGTATGAGACAAAAGTCAGATTTTACAGGGGCAAAAATAAAACTACTCTAGGAAAAACTAAGAAATGAAAAAACTATGAAATCGCAAAACAACAATTATATAAATTGTGAGAAAATTCAAAAAAATTATGAAATCTATGTAACTAGGATTCATACAATTCAACGTTTTTCAAACATCTTCTGAAAGTTTTTGAGGAATGAGAAACGTTTTTGTTGCTCCTGTAAAATTTGACTTTTATGACATATCCCGCTTTTGCATCTTCTGATTTAATTATCATTTATACAACAGATTAATAATTTTCGGATATTACATAGAACTAGGGAATATGTATTTTTAGTGGCGTAATTATACTAAGCAAATAAACTATTTGGTAATTTATCAATATTTGGGAAAAACTCAAATCAAAAGTGATTAAAAATATCAGAAAGTGAGAATTCTTTCATGATACCGTCTTCAAACTGCGCAGTTCTTGTGCTCAGGTAGAAATTTTTGTAAGGTTTTACTATTCCCCTTAAATTCTTTTCAAAGATTAGTCAGGGAATTTAAAAATTTTTTGTTGTATTCATATTATTTTATTTAGGATGAATGTATTTTGAATTTGTATTGTGATCATAGAATTAAAAGTAATATATTATTTAGACTGAAAAATTATGAAATTATAAATTTATGTATTTCATAACTACTTACGTAACTTGATTCTTTAATATTTTTGTAAGAAAGAATTATTTTCAAAACTTTGAAATGTACGTTAAATTTAAAAAAGTGCTATTGAAAATTCTTACCCAAAAAGTTATTTTTAAAATATTGTTACGGTTTTTTGATTTATTTAGTTATTAATCTATTAATTCTATTTTTATATAGAATAGAATAGGGCTATTAATTCTATTTTTAAATAGAATTATTATTAAATTGTTTCATTTCCCCTTGCAACGACCTATTTGAGGTAAGAGCTACGCCTTAAAAATAGAGGAGCACGCGCATTTAAAAAATAGATATTGTAATTGTAAGCTTTTGCTTTTCGAAAAAAGTACCAGAAAATTCTCGTGCATTTGAAAAACTTATATAAATGACATGAAAACACCTCAATTCAGTTGTTTTATGAGTTTTGTTTAGAAAACGGTTATTGTTTATTGTGGCGAATCCGGTGAATTTTGATTAGCTTTATCTATTTTGAATTAGTTCCGTTGAACGTTTTTAGTAGTTTAAAAGATAACTACTGTGAAATATTGGGATATTGTACGAATATATGAGGAACTTTAAGCATTTTGTTTTATTTGTTTTGATAATAATAAATTTTATTCATTTTTCATCGGACTTCTGCATTCAATTCATGACAAACTAGTACGCACGGAACAATTATTTCAAATTCGCATAAAAAATGTGAATCCATTTGCTATCATCTCGAAATTTAAAAGCCTTTCTGATTGGTTTGGCAATTAGCAATGCTGACTCCCATATCGTTGGGCTTAGGAAAAGGCATGTATATTTGTAAATGTATAGTGGTCTATCGGATACTTAAAATACTGATTAGTTGTGAGAGTCCTCTGGACAGTCTGATGGTAGCAGAAGGGAGGTAGGATACCCTTTCATTCTCTTTCCTAGGGATATCAATGAAACTGAGATCGACGGACGCCATTTACCTAAGCCAAGAATATGTGCGTGCTTTTTTCCTTTCGTCTATGGTGAATTTGTGAACTTGAATCGAGATCCACTGAGATCAGAAGGTTAACTAACAATAAAATTTTTATGAAAGTCTGTAGTAAAATTAATATCATGTTTATAAAAATTTAGATTAGTAATATCTTATTGGAATGAGATAGCGCTTTTGCTTTGCTTATGAGTAAATGCCTTCAATTATTTATTTTTATTTTCAACTACCAAGAAAGCATTACTGCTTCCAACCTTTTCCTATTCATCAACACAATTTAATCTTTTACATATGTTTCAAACTATCTTATATTCAGGTACATGTGTAAAAGGGGCGGGATACCGGAATTTTAGTTTTGGTGGTATAGATGCGGTTTCGTCTTACTAACTGTTTCACAAGCTCCCGTTGCGGCTCAATAGCTTTCTCCATAATTTTGATAGAGAAGAGTGTTCGAGCAATGGTGCGAACAGCTCTGACTCCTCTTGTCCTATCAACAACCGACAGAAAGAAATTTCAATTCGCCATGTATTTTGAGTTCCTCTGTTTCGCATAAACACTACACTAGCGAACATCCATGCTTTTTCCAGGATCACAACTCGAATGCAACGAAACAACAGCAAAGAGTACTAATCATTATAACAGATCAGAGCAGAAGTCTTATCTTTAATCAAACATTTAATAATGAGCAACTTGTAAAAGAGTATCGCAGTCTCCATGCATGCTCTTCTAATGTGAGTGGTCAACATATCAAGCTCACAAGTGGAAGATGAACATATACGGTTTGAATCCTGACGAGGACACAGCTGATTTTTCCGGTTTCTCTATTCAGAGAGCTTGATAGTCTCTACGAGCTTTTGCTTGAAACACCTTGCTTCCCAAATAAATTTAGAATTCTTAATGAAATATTTATTTCCAGTATCACTTCCCGTTTGCCAAATTTGCCTCGCGAAATAATTTTTTATTCACAAATTAAAAACTTAATTATTGGCTCAATTATCTGGTAACCGCACATTCAGTTCTACAGAAGAAAATGAATTATTAAATTAATAAAAGATGATTTACAGATTTATGTACGATATGTTCCTTTCTTGTAGCATGTATGTACATGTAATGTTTGGTAGTATTATCAATATCGATGTATTTTCATAGGAAAAGAAATATTACTTTTTATTATCTATGTTTAAGAAGACAAAAGGGCTGCGGGAGAAATAACTTCCTGATTTCATATGCAATTAATGAAGATGTGATATATGTTACGAAAAATATTATTTCGCAGTCTGAAAGAAGAAGGCTTTTAATTTCGTTTCTCTTATTAACTTTAACTTATGTACTAAGAAATAACTTTCTATGTGGTTTAAAATGATGGTACTACAGCACATATAGCAAGCGAATCGATGAGCGTACTGTGCTAAATGTTTCCAGGGTGTCAAACCTCAATTCGAAGTGTCATTCTTTAGCCAGTTTATTCTCTCGAACTTGCACTTTGTGACTCTGTAGCGATATCCGAAAGCAAAATTTACTGAGGTAAGTGGAAGACAAACAATGAAGGATGGAATCGGTAATGAAATCGCAGCAACATCGCAGCAGACATGACAAGTGAAGAGTGATGCAGAACTTCTTCAAGAACAGAGTAATGCAGTGTAGAAAGAGTCATACAGGGCGACGCTTGAGAAATGAGAGCTCAAGTCAGCATTTGGACGATACCATTTTCAAATGAAAGAGAATTATGTTTCACAAAATGGTGATTGTTGCAAGATGTTTGTTTTTATAAAAATGGTATACATATTTTTCGTCGTAATTCTGCACAGTGGTGTATTTTATTATTTAAAAATGTGACAAAAAAATTATAAAACTTGTTCTTTCCAACTGGGAAACAAAAGTATTATGTAATATCCATTATCGTTTTGTTATATGCATATGAAATACTAAAATATGAGAGTTATTTCTGCTGCTTCCAATAAAAAGAATTACTTTTAGCCAATCTCTCAATGAAATCAGGTATTGCTTATAAATAAATCTTTATAGAAGCAGCAAAGGCTTCCTAAAATTTTATGATTTTTCATGTTAAACGTTTTGTATACATTTATGAACGCGTTATGAATTCATATTATTTCATTTAGGATGAACGTATTTTGAATTTGTATTGTGATCATAGAATTAAAAGTAATATATTATTTAGACTGAAAAATTATGAAATTATAAATTTCTGTATTTCATAACTACTTACGTAACTTGATTCTTTAATATTTTTGTAAGAAAGAATTATTTTCAAAACTTTGAAATGTACGTTCAATTAAAAAAAGTGCTATTGAAAATTCTTGCCCAAAAAGTTATTTTTAAAATATTGTTACGGTTTTTGTACTGATTTATTACTAGAAACGGCTAAACACTTTTGAAATTGTTGCCATCAAATATTAGAGCCCTGTATTATACTTAAAGAAATTAAATAATGAAGAATCTGCATAAATGTTTGTATGTTTCTCGCATTGTAATAAAACAACGGTACCTACAGCCCTCGAATTTTGTATAACGTACGTGTCCACCCGAATATGGGCATTTGGAAGTCTGAATTTAGAATTTCTTTATCTGCGAGCGAGCCTGCGTATCGAAAATTCTAAAGATATGTTCTTTTAAATATTTTGTGATATTGCTGTTGAATTAAATTTTATTGTTTAAGTGAGAAGATAATGAATTTAATAAATAAAGGTAACACGCAAAACGTTAAAAAACGCCCCTTTGAGCATAATATAAAATCTGAAGGCTTTCAGATTTATTTATTTATTTATTTATTTTTATTTATTTATTTATTTATTTATTTATTGATGTCATAAGGCTCGATATACAAAACGGGCTCAGATGATCCTAAAATTTTTAAGGGGTTTTACAAGGAAAAAAAATCTGATGTGTACACCACTACTTCCTTGTATAGAATATTAAATTATAAGCATTTTTTCATGCATTTTATTTAAACTTATTGGATTGAATTAAATCTGCTTCGTCGATAGCGCATAAACCACAATAGAATAAATGCACTCTTTAAAATTCACTATATATGTTTACCATAGCGACAATCTGGCGCTAGGTTCACTTAACAGCGTTATATTTCGTTCATATTATAACTCAGAATGCACAAAATTTATTTCATTTGACGAATTATCTAATCGTTGGCACATGTTCTATTCAAATACTACAATAAATCTAGA